TCTAATCGTAGCTGCCCGAGTAAATAACTTTATATAAATATACAGTATGGGTGATATTAAGGGTGATTTCAAAAGTCAACAATTTTACCTTCTCTTTAACTGAAGAAATTACAACTTCATGTAGATGTCTACCTGAGACATATCAGCTGTATTTTATCACAGTGTGCTCACGATGCCACCAAATGGAGAGCACATGGCAAACAAATAATGTCAGCACCACAGCCACACAGACAGACAGCTCAAACCCCCAAACTGTCCCAGTGGATGAGCCACTCACAAATGCGCACACACAAACACACAGTATTTACATAGTAATGACAGCTGGCTGTTAGTTTGCAATCTAACACCAGTCTCACTTACCGCAGGGTAAGCGTCAGTCTTAAAACATAATTTATCAGAAATCTGCAGTCATGGCCTACTTGTCAGCTGCCAGATACTGGCTATGCCGTAATGAGGACAACCAGGCAACAATTGTCTTTTCACCAGCATTTATAGATCTAAGGGCGGGGGGACGTTATATTTGTTTCCAACTAGTTCTTTAACATAACAGACTACAGCATCCATTGATTTGAGCAATCACTTGAAAAAGTGATGACACCAAATGCATATCTAAACTTCCGCCGATGCATAAATCGTGCATAAGATATAAAACTGAGTGAGGTCTTACATTAAACACTCACAAAAATGACAACACGGAGCACAACACACAAACCAAGACAATCATTGTTATTCCTTTCCTTCATCTCACTTTGAAAATAACCCACATTAGGTTGTCGGTATTATACCACCAACTCCTTATCTGTAAAAGGGGGCAACGTTACACACGAACAGCACGGATATGACTACTAAGCAAAATAACAGCTGTGGATCAATACAGCTAAATCCAATAAAACCTCTCAACTTAAACAGTTAGGAGGATTGTTGAGGAGATCTAGGGTAGTGGCAGGTCGAGCTGTATTGTTTGAAATGTGTAGTTTGAAATCCCCATTGGCTTTAATGCCGCTTTCAGTTTGTTTGAAGCAGTCAGCAGCAATATTGTTCACTACTTTTTTTTATTTATTATTATTTTTTTTAAGAGCTGTCTAAGAAAATCCCATGTTGGATTCAAAAAGGGTTCTTTGTCTGGTCGTTGCACTTTGCACTAGCAGCTCTGAATTGCTTTGATAATTCCTTTTTAGCAAAAATATGTAATATTCAGTAACACACAACATGGTCTAACAAAGACAAGATCATAAGCAACAATGGGAATAATAACAGTGGCAAATAAAAGTTATATTTATTTTTTTTAAATCAGAGATGGAACTAAACTTTTCCAGGTGTGCTTTTTTTTGCATTGATTCCAAATCTGCCCCAGTCGTTTCTCTTGCGCATTATCGTCATCATGGCAAAATTATTGTAGAATCCGTATTGCATAAGCTTTTATAGGTAAAACGTTAAAAACAGAAAATGAAAAGATGTAAAAAAATCTGACACATTAAGTGATTTTTGATTAAAATGTGCCGTTGAAAAGTACATTTATTAAAAATATATTTATTAATTGATAGTTATTATTTTAAAAATGAAATAAAACAAAAGTATTGTAACATATTGTTACATTGACACTTTTATTTTATAAGATTAGTGTCTAATTAAAACAATTACAAGGTACTTTTAATATGAGCACATTTATGACCATGCACTCTTTATGGCAGTGGTCCCCAACCTGATTTCCGCCAGAGTCCGGTTTCTGGTGGGTGCTGGGGGTGCGATAATGCAGAGCCAATCAGTTCACGGGATAAATCCACTCGTGCCGTCATTCGTCGACATCGCGCCGGGAACCAATGATGCGCCTTAAATGAGTGCCCGTTGCATATACAGTACAGGACATTGCATGTACAAAAGCTCTGAGCCATTCTGTATTTTTTTTCTGAATACAGTACTTTGGAAAAAAAAAACATGATGTACTGAAGTTGCGATGAATGAACCACGATATAGCAAGGGATCACTGTACTCTTAAATAAAACTGTATACAGTACTGTACTGTGTTATGGATGACATTGGTGCAAGGAAGAAAACACTTTCCCTTCATCTGATTTTTTTTTCATGAAAAAAATAAACTGTTAGAACGGTATCTATTAATCTTTTTACTTTTAAATATGTGGGTTACAAAAACTTGCTAAATACAAATGATAAACATGCTTCAGTGGGATATTTATTCAGCTGCGGGGTTTTACTTTGCAAACAATGCAGAAGACAAAGGGTCTGTTGAGAAGTTGGAACAGAGAAGAGATTCACTGGTCCACACTCAGTGGTTGCATTGTTGAGCCCAGGCTGGCTGTGGTCAAAAGTGTGTGCAAAATAACACCAGCGGAAAGACAATATAGGACAACAATTGTAATTGAAACAGCCAATAATTGGTCAATTAATTATTTATAAATGTTGGGGTTACCGTATTTTCACACCTATAAGGCGCCATTAAAAGTCTAAAATGTTCTCCAAAGTGGACAGCACACCTTATAATGCGGAGCGTCTTGTGTATGCGCTGAGTACCAAAACCTGACTGAGAGCCGACACGCTGTTTATATAGAGAAAAGGCGGAAGTGAATGAGGACAGGCATGCGGCGAAGAAGTCGGCCAATCAGTGAAGGGTGGGCGTGTATATATAATATGAATATATATATATATATATATATATATCATAGATGGCAATGGCGAGTGATGAAAAAAGTGGAAGGGGCGGGGCCTGGGCGG